GAATATGAACACTCCTAAGGCAGGGATTAAGCTTTAGTTATTTCTCAATCTTTCTGACAAGCATGTAGTAGCCACTCAATGCCTGTAGAATAAATAAATGCAGAAGTCAAATAATAAAACATTCTTAGAGTTTTCATTTTACAAAGTTCAGAAGTAAAATATTGAGTGGTAGATTGCTGTAAATGTGCAATCATTTCTGTAACTTACAGATCTGATGCTGCATCCTCTTCCTTAAGCTTCCAACCCGCTTGGTGAAACCAGAGTTGGTGGAATGGAGACTCCCTCTGATTTTACCATGGAAGTCCAAGAAAAAAACATGGACTTCACATAGAAAACATTCACTCCATTAAATGAGGAAGGCCTAATTCATTAGAATTTTTAATAACTTGACCACAGTTGAACAAGTGTAACCAGATACACCACGTTATTCAGCCATATCTTTTGGTAGAGTCATTCCTGGGAGTACACTGAATGTCGAAAATTTTAAACACCTGAACAGCCTAAAAATAAAGTGACATTTTCCCACCAGCAATTAGGCTTATAAGAACACATTCCCATCATTTACCCTTAACAAAGAAAATGAAAGAGACATTAAAGAACATGAGAGTGGAGGCCTTTGCCAGTTTAGAGTTAGAGGAAGAAAAGGAGATCTTTAGGTATAAAACCCAAACGACTTTTCAAGTCCAGTTGGACTCAGTGACTCCATCACTCTCCTCAAGCAATCAGAGACTTTACCGGCAGAGCAAGACATAGTACATTTCAACTTATCTTATCCAAATTATAATAGACCATAAATAAATATGAAATAAAAATAAATATATGGAGCTTCTTTCAAATTAGGATAATCCTCAATGAATGGGTTCAAAACAACTTAGTTTTGACAAGAGTAATAAATGTCTATATTCTGAGAAAAATCAGACCAAGTCAGGATAAAAAAATTTAAGATGGCAAAATAAATTACACATACATCAAATAGTTACAACAAAATATGGCAAAAAAAAGGAGATAAAAATGATGAATAGAAATCTAAGTAACTGCTGAGATGTATTTTTTAAAGTTTTTGAAAGAGAAAAATATAAGAACATGTAGCAGCCAGAATTATATCCACAATAAATCAGACATATTTGATTATCATATCTTATTGTAAGTTTCATCACTTAAAAGGAATGAGAAAATTTGCAAAACACTTAGAGAGACATTTCAAAGACATTAAGGATTACAAAGAGGGCTTCTGCGGAATAATAGATTAAATGGCCAATTTTAGAGAAAAGAACGATTCTTATTAATCTATGCATAGCCTTCATTTCATGGATAGTGAGAAAGCTACAAGTGCAATGAAGGGTGTTCAAGAGAAGAAAGTCTTACGTCGCAAAGCAGAAAATTCTGAGACAGGGGATCATCAAATATCAGACTCAACTCTCAAGGACGATTGTGCAGTTGGCAGTCTTTAAAAGTAGGGATTATCACTTGGCTAATGTCCATCAGGTCCTGCCTGAAGGCAGTAGAATAAAGTGAATGGCATAGAAAGACACCTTGTACTTTTATAATGGGTAACAAAACAGTGATTAGACCAGAGAACCAGGTTCCAGTATTAATTACATAACTTAGATAACCCTATGTTATAGAGGTAAGTAAAATTTACTATACTAAGGGCTGGAAATGATAGATGAAAAAGAAGTACTTGAAAATTAGAAGTCTCTGCTCATTACTCAAGATCTGAACAAATTAGAAACCTTACATTAATACAATAATATGGTTTCAGCTAAAAATGGACCATTAGTTTGAGAAAGTAATTTAATCATTCATCTGTATTCCCTAGATGATTTCATTAAAAGATTACAGCTGGCCTACCCCTTTCAGGGTATTCCTATTAGAATTCCAGGAGTTCCTTAATCTAATCTGCAGCTTCCAGGTTAAAAGCTCACCAAAATCACAAAAACTTGATGAAGGAGAGAAACAACATCAGTGTATTTGGGACAGGCCAGAAAGCCAGGGAACTCAAGGAAGGGCAACTCCTAAGGCACGATAACCAAAGACGTGTTAAAAGACTGGGTTTCCAAAATAGCCTTTCCAAAAATTGGTTTGACAAGACCTAAGCTCCGGGGGGAAAATATTTGAAGACCTTTTTATATAGTTGATTTTAATATTATAAAATTATGATTCAGAAGAAAAACTTTGTGCATATTAAGCAATTTGAAAGTATGACTTAAGCAAGTATGGATTATCTGCTGGATTAGCAAGTATGAAATATAACAGTATGAATAAACTGAATATTTTTAGAGTATGTCTGGTCCTAAAATCACATAATTTGTTAGCAACCCATGCCATTTATAGAGCATTCAGTAACTGTATTAACTGGTCCTCAGTTCTTGCTGAGGATACATCTCTAAATCTGCAGAGGGAAATCAATACACAGGAGTGCCTACATTGTGGAACATTGATGTTGGAGCACATAATAAATTCCCAGAGCTACCTTCCCTAAAATGTTTATAGTCAAGGAGTTACTAAGTTTCAAAAAGCACTTTCTGTAATAGACTGTTCTTTTTCAAGACAAATGCTGCAAACTCTCTTGTCAATCAATTTAATAACTGTAATTCAGAAAGAGGCAAAGCCTTGGTCACTTGCTAAAAATGGAAAAGATAAGCCCCAAACCTCAGAAGTTGGAGTTCTCAACTTACAACATAATGTCATAGTGTATATATTCTTTCTATTATTTTATTTGAGCCAAATATTCACAAATAGGTTCTAAAAAATGAATACATTTTAAAAAATGATATATGTACTGTTCTGGTAATTTTCAGGTAGAAAACTGCAAAGAGAAAATAAATCACAACCAGAGTCTTGGTTCCTTTTACAGAACCTAAAAAAGTTAAACATTTTTTTTTCATAATTTTCTTGCTTTCTTTTCCTCCTCTTCTTCCTCTAGGCTACCTAGAACTGAGCATTTAAATAGACTTTCATATTCACCAGCCCAAGAAGATTGCATTAAATATATGACTGTAGATAAATTCTAAAATACTAGTTTTAAAACTTAAAGGGAAATCATCTTGCAAAAAATATTACCAAAATACAGATTTTGGTATTTTGGATTTTTATGGTTTCAATTTTATTTGTATAGCTCTATTATATTAAAGTACAAATGAAAAACTGCACATATTTAAAATGGATAATCTAATGAGCTTTTACGTATGTGCACATCCATGGAACTATTGCCACAATCAAAATAGTATCTTTGTTGGCCCCACGTTTTGTAATCCATCACAGCTCACTTCCACTCCCCACCGCGCCCCATTGCCAGATGACCACAGGCATGCATCTGCCATACAGTTTAGTTGGTTCACATTTTCTAGACTTTTATATAAATGGAATCATACCCTTGCACTCTTTTTTTTTTCAAATCTGGTATCTTTCACTCAGCATAATCGTTTTGCTATTCAGCCATGTTGTATATGTATCAACACTGTCAGTGTTTTTTGACAAACATTTTTTTTATATTCCTGAGTTATGTTCTTTGTGGATATATCACAACAATTTGTTTATCCTTTCTTCTGTAGGTTGGCTTTTGAGTTGTTTCTGGTCTGGGTCGTTTACCACAATGTAGCAATGAATGCTCATGTACAAGTCTCCCTGTGGACTTCTTTCTATTCTGGTAGGCAAACTTCTAGAGAGCTGTGGCTGGGTCATATAATAGGTGTATGTTTACCTTCTTAAGAAAGTGTCCAACTCTTTTGCAAAGTGTTTTTTGTACCATTTTTGCATTTGCAAGGCAAATATTAGTGTTCCAGTAGCTGCACATCGCTGCCAACACTTGGCGTGCTGCTGTCTTTTTAATTTCAACCATTACGGTAGGTGTGTAATGGTATCCCATTGTGGTTTAATTTACATTTCCCTAAGGACTAGTAATAGGGTGTGTCTTTTCTGTTCTTGTTTGCTATTCAGATAAATTTGTTTCTCTTTTTATTTTGTGGGGTTTTTAAATTTTATTTACAGTAACATTAACTCTTTTCAGTACATAGCTTGTTTTTGTTAGCTTTTAGAGTCAGGGAACACCGCCGTGACTGAGACACAGAACAGGCCCACTTACCTGAGTGAGAACTCGCTCATGCTGCCTCTTTCCGGCCAATCCTCCCACCGGCCGTAAGCCCTGGTAATCACAGGACTGATCTCTTGTCTTTATAGTTTTGCTTTTTTCCAAAGCGTCACTTAAATGGAATCAATATGTAGCTTTTGAGCTAGGCTTCTTCCACTTAACAAGATGTATTTAAAATTCATCCTGTTGTTGTAGCAATAGCTGAGTAGTGTTTCATTGTATAGATGTAACAAATTTTCACTCTCCATTTGCTAGGTGAAGAATATTTGTGCTCTTTCTAGCTTTTGGCAATTATGATTAAAGTGCTCTCAACACTTAATAATAAAAACAGGCAAAATATTCGAACAGTCACTTCACCAAAGAAGCTATACACATGACAAGTACATGGAAAGATGTTTTATATCAACTAGAGAAAGCCAAATTAAAATGGAACACTAATACTTGGCTATTACAATGACTGAAATTAGAAAGACTGATCACACCATGTATCGATAGAGTTGTGGACCAGATTCAACTCTCCTGTGTCTGCCAATGAGAAATAAGAAATGGTACAGCACTTCGGAAAACAGTTTAGTCAAGAGAAAAGCAACTGTTATTTCTATACACAGTCCTGTATATGGATGTCCATAGCTGCTTTCCTTGTAGAATCACTATTAAAAAATAATAAAACAACCAAAATGTCCACCATAAGGTGAACAGATGAACATGGTGTGGTTCCACTATTCTAGTGGAGGCACCAAAGTATAAAATAGCCACTTTTTAAAATGCAGGCATAATACTTAAAAACTAAAGAGAATATTCTATAGGTCCTATGTATCACCTCATATTATCTGATTGATGAATTCGAGTTGTATAAAGTAGAGTCATTTCTTCTCAACCATAAAAGGAAATAACAGGTTCAGAATCTTACCTATATACTTGTATCCTTCTTCCCCGTCTACTATGGGTCTCAGCCAAGTCGACCTAAGTCGCATATTATTCTGCACATGGGCTCCTTGAGGAGGATAAAGTGTAAATAACATTTCAATTGCCTTGGGCTTCTTGATGATTTCAGAATATTTTTCATGGTCTTCTGTAATAAAAATGAATATTATTATTTTTTTAATTTTAGACATTTTACTAAAATGTCTAATGTGTTTCTTTCAAGAGATGCAAATTAAAAGTCTTTAATAATTTGGCCCTGGCTGGTGTGATTCAGTGGACTGAGTGCTGGCCTATGAACCAAAGGGCTGCTGGCTCCATTCCCAGTGAGGGCACATGCCTGGTCCCTAGTAGGGGGTGCATGAGAGGCAACCACATGCCTCTCCCTCTCTCCCTCCCTTTCCCCCTCCCTTCCCCTCTGTCTAAAAATAAATAAAATCTTTAAAATTTTTTAATAATCTGAATGCTGATTATGTTGACAACATGGATTTTCTTTAGCTAAAGTTACTTCACCAAAAATCTTACTGTTCAGATAATTCCTAGCAAAAATTAAGTAAGGGCTTTACTGACAGCATCTTCAAACACTATAAATGAAAGCAGAGCTGTTAGGAGCTACAGGAAAAAAGTAAGGTACAATTAACAGCATTTACATTCTACATCCTATAGCATAACCATATGTGCTTTGAAATTGCCAATATATGATGAAATCAGACTAACCAGACCCCCCAAAAAATGTTGAGTAGAGTTCCATAAACTGAAATTGCTGTAAAGAATTAATATTCCTAGGCTATGATCTAGTAATGAATATACAAATATTTATATAGCACTTACTATACACAAGGGATTTTTCCAAGGGCTCTGGAACATTAACACATTTAATTTTCAAAGCACATCTCTAAAGTAGATCCTATTATTATTTCTATTTCACATGAAGAACTTGAGGCCCAGAGAAATTAAATAACTCGCCTAAGTCTTTCAGTGTGTAAATGATGCGATTAGGATTTGGATTAGCTAAGGAAGCTCTTATTTGAAAACGGAAGGTGGTCAACCAAGTATGACCTGCACTAACAAGTAGGTAAGAAACCTGACCTTGGCTGGTGTGGCTCAGTGGATTGAGTGCCCTTTGATTCCCAGGCACCGCACGTGTGTGAGTTGCTGGACAGGTCCCTAAATGGGAGTGTGCCATCAGCAACCAATGGGGGCCAGGTCCTCAGTTGGGGGTGTGCCATCAGTAACCAATGGCTGTTTCTCTCTCACACAAAGGTGTTTCTCTCCCTCCCTCCCTCCCTCCCTTCCCCTCTTTCTAAAAATAAGTAAATAAAATCTAAAACAATAATAATAATGTGAATTGTAGACTGAAAAAGTTCTGGTTACTTTTTTATTGGCCAACTCTAATCCCATATGCATGGTTTTTATTCTCCCACATTCCCCAAGAAAGCAAATAGGACATAATAGTTAATAGGACATTTTGTAGCAGATCAGTCTCAGATATGCAAACTATTTTCAATAAAAAATAATTGAATGCCTACTTAAAAAAAGAATATTAATAATTAGGCAATAGGCAAATTGTCAGCTTTACATTCTAAGATTATAAAAGGAAATCTCATCTATTATTATACTTGTTCCTTTCTAAAATTATGTTTCTAAAAAGATATTTTAACACTAAAAATGCATGAACAACACCATCTCAAATGAAAGGTAGTACTTCACCTTTCATTTCACCAAATGATGAAAACCTTGAGCTTATAGGACTGTTGAAAGTGTCAATTTCTTTCTAAGAAGCCCTCCCTCGACACAAATTGCAGCACAGACACAACGTTCCCAAAGGGCATGTGTGTAAATTAAGTTTAGGGCCAGTCCCAAGTATCCGGCTGGCCAAAAAGGTCCTTTGTTTTTTTTCCCATAAGATGGCTCTAGTAGCATTTAGTTAGTTGTCTTTAACTTCCTTAGCAACAATTTGGTTAGATTGTATTGTGACTGCTGTCCTATCAGCTTGCATTAAAAATAAACTTATTGCCCTGGCTGGCGTAGCTCAGTGGATTGAGCGCGAGCTGGGAACCAAAGTGTCCCAGGTTCGATTCCCAGCTAGGGTACATGCCTGGGTTGCAGGCCATAACCCCCAGCAACCGCACATTGATGTTTCTCTCTCTCTCTATCTCCCTCACTTCCCTCTCTAAAAATAAAAAATAAAAATAAATAAAAAAATTTAAAAAAAACTTATCAAAATTGTTGACTATGCAGCCATTTTAATATTGAAGAAGGAAGAAAATACGCATCATTTTCAGCAAAGCATGCTTTATTATTCTAAGAACAGTAAAAATGCAAGTGAAATGCAAAAAATATATATTTGCAGTGTATGATGAAGGTGCTGTGACTAATGGAATGTGTCAAAAGTGGTGTGCAAAGTTTTTTGCTGGAGATTTCTCACTGGACGATGCTCCATGGTCAGGTAGACCAATTGAAGTTGATAGCAATCAAATTGAGACATTAATTGAGAAGAATCAATATTCTACCATACAGGAGACAGCCATCATACTCAAAATATCCAAATCAATAAAGTTATTGGTGAAAATTAAAACTGTCTTTTATGGATAAAACTACATGGACTTTTTGACCAACCCAATATATTAGGAAGAGTTAGGTGGGTAAGAAAGCTCCAGTAGGGACCCTGAGTTATTAAACCACAATGGCAGACCTTGTCATTGAAGTCAATTATTAACAAGTGTTTACAAGTATGGGTAGAAATACCCTAATCCTTTACCTTAGCCCAGTAATTTACTGCACCATTATGTAACTAAATTTATCACCAAGGTAAAAATAGACTTTATAGTCTTCACACAAACACAAAATTTACATGCTGAAAACCACGGTGATAGATAATAGAGGTTTTCTTCCATTTTGAATATTATGCATTCATTAAAATACTAATTTATCTCTCATGGGCCACTGACTAGTCACATGAGGATTTCAGTATGTGGTGATTTTGAACCGGTGGTTTATAATCTAGAGCCTGCTATAAATAACCAATTTCTCAATGTTGTACTTTTAATATCTTTTCACTGTTTAGTTAGAGAATTTTATGCTGTATTTATTTTCTTTGATTTGAAATAAGTGAATGTCATACTTTTTTGTCATGCCATTTTTATCAGAGCTTTTTCTATTTATTAGTAAATTTAAAAGGATAGCAATTTATCAGAATGAAAAATTATATTTGTCTTGAACAAAGGAAAGTGAATCCATAGCATCCCATATCAACATTAATGAAATTTCCTTTTTAAAAGATCGCTGAAGAAGGAGGAAAACATTGAAATTCAAAACCAAAGGGCAAAATGATTAGGAAGGCAGTTAAACAATATGCCACTGGATGGTATAACCAGTAAAATAAATGCAAGAACCACTGATCTCTTGTATTACACGTAAATACTGACACTATTTAATTTGAAGAAGAGCAAAAATGTCCATCAACATTTGACTGAGAGTAAAAAAATACAAAATAAGGACATGATTTAATTAAAAATTTGTTAAAGTATAGCAAATATTTCTACTTTTAAATCCCCTCAGTTCATGGAAACAGGCACATATTGTTAACTTTGCCAGAATGTTCGTCACTGTATAATTAAAAGGTTAAGTGTATAAAAATTGTGTCCCTCATATATACCCTTATAAATACAATTAAAATTCTATTATAAAATAGAAAATTAGGGGATTGCAGGCATTTGATAGTCCAATGATCTAAGTACAATTATTTCAAAGGATTCACTTATTCAGTAGAATAAATACAGAGAGTACATAAAGAAACATGGCTGTTTCATTTTATTTCCATGTTGATTATTTTTGGCTTTTCAGCTAATTAGCAAATAAATATATTTTCAAGTGTTTGTTAATAAAAGATAAAAGACATTTTTTGGGCCTTCATGTAATTTAGGTTAAAACAGATCACATTATAATACATAAATTATATAGCTACACAAAACACTAAAATGATTTTGGTTAATAACTCAAATATAATTATGACTTCCTTATAGGAGAATTTTCTTTTGTTTAAAAGCCTATGCATGTTTGTGTGTGTCTGTGTACTGGAAGTAATGTAAACATTATCTCATAAATGATTAGAGTATTATGATTAATGTTAAGTATTTTATTTTAAAAATATGCCCTTCATATTTCTTTGAAGGTCTGAGTCTCGGGATGGCCGGATTAAATCCATTATCATGATTTTATTCTGACAGACTCAAGATGAATGGCCTTCTCACCCCAGTTTAAATGCTCTCACTTTGTGAGAATAACAATAGCACAGAAAAATTCATGAAACTTAAGAGCACAGCGGCAGTTTATATTGGGCTCGCCATACATAATTCACAATATATCTCTTTTCACTTTGTTCGAAAGAGTATTTTAATAAAAAAAATTACCTCCTGGTTGGATTATTCAATTAAATTTGAATTACCTAATCCCTTGGGGTTTTGGGTTTTGTTTTATTTTTTTTGCTACAGATTGCCATTCTTTTAGTCATTTTCATATATACAACTTCTGGCCAGAAGGTATCCAGCTATGTAATAAGAAAAATAGAGACATTTATTGAAGAAGGTACAAGATACAAGAAACATTGTACACAGGACAAGGACACCTCAGTCCTCTTTGAGGGAGGCACCTTGGGACCTCACATGGTTCTCCCATTCACCATCAGCTGCCCCATCTAATTTTCCTGAATCTCACTTATGGTCTAAAATCTCTTCCATTTCAAAGGCGATTTTACTTTTGGGAAAAGCCACAAGTCACAGAGCACCAAATCTGGGCTGTAGCAGGACTGACTCACCTGGGTGATTTGATGTTTTGCCAAAAAATTCTGTACAAGACATGATACATGAGCAAGCAAGTTGTCCTGATGAAGCTGCCAATCACCAGTTGCCCATAGCTGCAGGCTTCTGAATCATACGAATAGTTTCCACAGAGGAATGTTTAAGCTTAATGTAAAATCTGATGCAGATTCCTTGCTCTACTTGCTCAGTCAGTCATTTTGAACATGACAGCCACACAGTACACATGCTCACTCAACAGCCTCTACCGCCCCCACTGACTAGCACAAGTGAGGTCATCATCATTCATGCATGCACATTCCAGTCCACTCTCCTCGGCTGCCAGGTTACATGG